AAGGGGGGGCGAGAGGAAGCGAGGAGGCTGCCTGCCTCGCTTCCTCGCCCCTCGGCCTCGCTTGCCAGAGCTTGCCGAAGACGCTTTGCATCCTCTCCTGGAGGGAGAGGGGAGCGGGCGGAGGGCTGCCCAGGGCGCAGGCTGGGGAGGGAAGTTTGGGCATCCCTCGGAGCCTCCTACCCGCATCTGCCAGCTGCTTGGGGGTCGGGAACGCCGCGGCGGCCCTACCATTTTCACCACAGCACAGGCAGCCTGGGGGAAAGTCAGGTTGAAGAGTTTGGCTTGATGCTGACCACCGGACTAGACTGAGCGCTTTCTTTCTTTTTTTCTTCTCTGCCCCGACGGTAGGATAGTTTCTTCCGTGCAGGCTGTGCTGGCCACAGGGTCTGGGATCATCATCATCCGCTCCTGCAACAACGTGATCACCGACAGGTAACGTCCTGTACCAGGTGAAAGACGTACTGATAACCGGGAGGAAATTCCCCAAGCTTCCACAGTTCAATGGCTCACAGGCTCTGGTTCTTTATCAGCACGTGCTGTTAGAAAAAGTTGGGCACCGTCAGTAGTTCCTTCCTTCTCTCCATTTTTTTCAGCATCTCCCAGCACAGGAAAAAATAAACTGAATGTAAATCGAATAAATGCTAAAGAACAACAGAGCCCTAGTCTGATTTTAAAAGTCGGCATGGTGGAGGACAGCGATTCAAGTTCTTTATGAAATCAGTAAGGGTAAAATGTATTCGGGACCAGCAGTTAGCGTAATGGCTATGTCGCTGGACTCCCATGTAGTCCGCGGTTCAAATCCTGGACCTGGTGGCTTAAACTCACATCAGGCGCATGTGCGTGCGTGCCCAAGATCCCGAGAGGAGAACGGAGGAGAAGGGATTGCAGTGTGGCCATCCCCCCTGGGGGGTGATTTCTCGCTTACTCTCTGTCTGTCTTTCCCGCCAGCGCATGCGCCCTATAGCAAAAACCCCTCCCAAAAAAAAAAAAGAAAAAAAAAGTATTTAAAAGTAGGAGTATGGCTTCTGGTTCTCCTCTATTATCTCATTGGATTCCTACCTTGGAGAATTCATTGGCCACGATGTGTCCAGCGTGGTTAGCAGAGCCTTTTCACGAAGGGAACAGATCCACTAGCCCCTTCCTTGCAAATGCTGCTCCCGTTTTTCCTTTGGATTTGCTAAGGGTGATGAAAAGGTTTCTGGTGCTTTCAGAAAACTCAGCCCAGTGGCAGGCCAGGAAATGTGCTTCTACCTGCAGCATCAGTGAAATAAATAATAAATGAGGACCAGAATGGTCTACTTTGCAGTATATAGACCTGGAGAGTGGGGGTGTTTTCCTTAACTTTTTTCTTTATTCTTAGTAAAACACATATGCACACACAGGAATG